AAGTATTCTATTCTTTTTTTTAAAAGATTTTATTTATTTATTTTTAGGAAGGGAAGGGAGGGAGATAGAGAGGGAGAGAGAAACAACAAAGTGCGGTTGCTGGGGGTTATGGCCTGCAACCCAGACATGTACCCTGGCTGGGAATCGAACCTGGGACACTTTGGTTCCCCGCCCGCGCTCAATTCACTGAGCTACGCCAGCCAGGGCTTCTATTCTTTTTTTTTTTTTTTTTTTTTGTCATTGCTTTTGGAGAGAGAGGAAGCAGGAGAGAGAGGAAGGGAGAGAGAGAGAGAGAAACATCAATGTGGGAAACATCGATTGGCTGCCGTATCGCACGTACCCCAACCAGGGATAGAACCTGCAGTCTGGCTGTGTGCCCTGACCAGGAATCAAACCCAAAACCCTTTGGTCCATGGGATGGGCTTCAACCACCTGAGCCACGCTAGGCAGGGCTATTTTATTCTTTCCAATGCTGTTATAAATGAAATATTTTTCCTAGTGTCATTTTTGGATTTTTCACCGAAAGTATAAAGAGAAATACAATTCATTTTGTTATTGACCTTGTGCCCTGCAAACTTGTTGAATTCATTTATTAGCTGTCATGGTTTTTAGTGGGCTCTTCAGCATTTTCTATACACAAGTTTGTGTTTTCTGTGAGTAGATAGTTTTACTTCTTCCTTTCCAATCTGGATGCCTTTTAATTTCTATTTCTTGCTTAATTGCCCTGGATAGAATCTCTAGTACAATATTAAATAGAAGAGGCAAGAGTGGACAACTTTATCTTGTTCCTTCTCTGGTTTCTTGGGGAAGTATCCAGTCTTTCAACATTAAGTATGATATCAGTTGTGGGTTTTCATAGATACCCTTTATCATCTTGAGGATGGCTGCTTGTTTTTTTGTAAATAAAGTTTTATTGGAACACAGTCATGTCATTCATTTATGTATTGTCTATAGCTGCATTGACTATTATGTACTATAGAGACAGACTTGAATAGTTGTGACAGAGACCATATGACCTATAAACCTAAAATATTTACCATCTGGCCCTTTATGGCCTAGTCTGTTGACATCTGTTTTAAACCACTAAATTTTGGGATAGTGTACTATGAAACAGTACATAACAAAAATAACTCCTCACCTTTGACTAGGACCTCAGAGAACTGCAGCAGTTAGTAAGGGGGAACCATAAGTTAGCAAACCCTCCCATAGACTGACTACAGCCCAGTTTCACGTCATCTGGGAGACTCAGAAATCAGAAGCCCTGACATTGGGTTAAGGTGATTCTACCTTGCTAGTGTCCCCAGATGCCTGCAAAAACAAATGGAAATCCTTTGCAGAGGAAGAGAGTATCTCGTTGCCTCAAATGATATTTTTAAATGCAATGTCTAAAGCATAACCAGGTATTGATACATGAGGAGATAAAACAACATGAGAAAGAACCAGTAGTAAAAACCGACAATGGAAGCTGACAATGAAGACCCATGGAGGCTTCAGACTGGAATTAACAGACACAGACTGTAAAACATCTATAGTTACCATACTTAAGGAGAAAAAAAGCCAAGCTTGAAAATTATTGCAGGGCACTAAGAGATATAGGAAATGACATACCAGATCTGAAAAAGAACAAAATAGAAATTTTAGAGCTAAAAAAATTACATATATAATAACCTAATTAAAAAACTTAATGGGTAGATTTAAGAGGAACTTTGTTTAAGCTGAAGAGAGGCTTAGTGAACTGAAAAATAGTGAGAAGAAATTTTTAGAAGAAAGCATAGAAAGACCAGAGATGGAAAGTACAGAAGAAAGGGATGTAGTGAGAAGGTCTAACATGTGTTTCAACTGGTGCTCCAGAAGGAAAGAGCAAAAGGTACAGAAACAGTATTTGAATGGCTGCAAATATTTTTAAAATATTTATTTATTTATTTTAGAGAGAGAGAGAAAGTGGGGGGAGAGAGAGAAACACTGATGTGAGAGAGTCACATCAACTGGTTGCCTCCTGGGTACACCCCAACTAGGAATTAGATTTGCAACGTATGCATATGCCCTGACTGGGAATCAAACCAGCAACCTTCTGGGTCATGGAATGACACTCCAACCAGCTGAGCCATGTAGCCAGGGCCACATGGCTGAGAATTTTTCAAAATTGGTGAAAAACTATTCAAAAGATGACAGCTAGCCATGAAAATGACAGATATCCACTCCACCACATGTTCTGTCTCTTAAAACACTACATCATTCGTGTACAAAACCGTCTTTGAAAGGATTTTGAAACCAACATGGAAGTAGCTCTATAGCACATGGAACAGAGCTTGGGTGGGCTGAGTTCAAGTACAAACTCTGCTGCTTCCTAGCTCTGACACGTGGAAATTGTTGTCAAACGTCAGTTTTCTCAACCAATAAATAGGACTAGCGACACTAGCTTACTTCACCTTGCCATTGTGGGAATCAAGTGATAAAATACATGTGAACAAACCTAGTGAATGCCAGGTGCTTTAAAAATGAGATGGGATTTGAGCAGAATCACAGGCATTCCAAGGGCACTAACAGTGACAGGTAGGAACAACTACATAATTTGCAGGTCCTGGGGCAAAATGAAAATGTAGGGTACCTTGTTGGAAAAGGATTAAGAATTTCAAGATGGTGACAGCAGAGCATTAAGCCAAGCAGAGGCCACATACCTCAAAGCCAGCCTTGGTAACAAGTTTGGCATAGAGCTGCTCTGTGCATTAGGAAAGGGCTGCTCAGCCCTCACCCGGGTGTCTACAGCGACAGCTCATATTATCTTTAAATTCTGAAGGGCAGTGATATTCAGGGAAATTGCAAGCACACGTGTTTCCAAATGCTGAGCAGGGCAAGTGCAGTGACCACCGTGGTTTTTTGAGAGAAGGCTGGGGCCAGCTAGGCTGCCATTGGAAGTGTGAAATGACTTTTCCACACAGACTCTGGCCTAAGGAAAAAAGCCTATAGAGGTATGTAGAGGGCCTGTTATTTGCAGAGCTGTGTTATAACACAGCCTGGCAGCCTCCTGGCACTGTCTTCCTCATGGAAGAGCCTGTCCCACAGCCTGTGACATGGCTACACAGCCCTGCAGATTTGCCCACACTGTTCCTTGCTCTTCCTCCAATTATTGGGCTTTCTCAGGTCTGTACTGTTTTTGCTTATGCTATCCTCCCACTGCCTGGGAGTCCCTTTCCTTCCTCTTCCATATCCCTCCACCTGGCAAGCAACGACCTTTTAAGATTGTATAACCTCTTCAATGATGCCTTCCCTGCCTCCCCCAGAAGAGCTGATTCCTCCCTCCTTCCACGGTGCCCTATGCAGACATCTCCTGTAACAAAGGAGCACTGACATCAGCATCTCCTAGGCTGAAGCTGTCAAGGGCTGGGGCAATGTCTTCGCACATAGCACAGTACTTAACATTTTTTTAAAAGATTTTATTTATTTATTTTTAGAGAGGGAAGGGAGGGAGAAAGAGAGAGAGAAACATCAATGTGTGGTTGCTGGGGGCCATGGCCTGCAACCCAGGCATGTGCCCTGACTGGGAATCGAACCTGCGATGCTTTGGTTCACAGCCCGCGCTCAATCCACTGAGCTATGCCAGCCAGGGCAAAAAAATTTTTTTTAATTATTTTATTTTTGTTCAAGTACACTTGTCTGCATTTCCCCCCTCCCCCACCCTGATTCCACCCTCCCCTTGGTCCTTCACAGTTGTTCCTGAAAACCCTTCCCTTCCTCCCCTCTTTCTTCTGCATTATCCCCTCCCACCACAGTACTTAATACCTGTTGTGTAGAGTAGATATTTAATCAGTTGGTGTTAGTATGCAGAGTAGTTTTTATTTATTTATTTTTAGAGAGAGGGGAAGGGAGGAGGAAGAGGGAGAGAGGGAGAAAAACACCAATGAGTGGTTGCCTCTTGCACATCCCCCACATCCCCCACTGAAGGCCTGGTCCACAACTAGGCAAGCACCCTGACTGGAAATCAAACCTGTCACCTTTGGGTTCTCAGGCTGGTGCTCAATCCACTGAGCCACATCAGCCAGGGCCTGCCAAGGCAGTATGCAGAGTAGTTTTAATCACCATTGTCTTGCTGAATTAATGCATGAATAAACTGTTCCAGTGACTCTTCCTGGCATATGCTTAAAAGAGAAGCTTCCAGGTACAGAGACAGGGTCTGGCCCTTGAGGAGGTTTCACTGTTGGCTCTGATTGTCTTTTCTACAGGCACCACTTCTTGAAGGCTGGAATGATTTGTCAAAGTGGCTGTTCATAAAGACCTAAGTGACCAACGTGATGTAGTGCAGAGAACACATCTAAAGCTAGGAGATGTGGCTTCTAATCTGGTTATGAGACATTGTTTCCTTAGGTAACTATGAAATCCCATAGCCATGGAATTTAAGGTTTGTTTCCTCAAAAAACGAGAGGACTGAGCCCCCAAGGCCCAGAAATCTCTGTAGGAGCAACTGAGAGGTGGCCATCTACAGAGGTGGAGGGGCCTGGGCTGCTCTCGAAGCTGAGTTTCCTCAGCAGGGTTGTCCATTGGAGGAGAGATGCTGGTAGAGACCACAAACATTTTTTAAGGCATTTTGCTGTCTCAGTCACATGGGATCTCATGTTGGAAAGGTTTGTGAAGTCAACTAGCTTGTTCAGGCATTATTTCCTCTGGAGGTAAGGGAAGGGGTGTGAGTATGATTGTGTGTGTGTGCGCGTGTGTGTGGAGGGGGTGGTCGGTTAGTTTCCTCCATGCTTTCCCTCCAGCCCCACAAAGGGCCAGCGCCAGACACGTGGGCTGGCGTGAAGAGGCGGAGGTTACACTGAAGCGGAGGTGCAAATGGACAGGGGAGGGGTTCATTTGCATGGACGGAGGGTGCCCACCAATCCGGACTTGCAGAGTGACAGCCCGCGCGCCTTTTGGGGGCGGACTGACAGCTCCGGGGCCCAATGGAAGGCGGATCCTGCGGACGGCAGGGGCGGGACGGCGGCGGGCGCTGTCCCTGGGATTCGGGCCGGCTCTCCGGCGCTGCCAGTCTCCGGCTGCAGCGTCCGGCGCGCGGGCGGCTTGGTGGGCGGGCTGAGGGTGAACCGCGCGCGGGTGAGGCGGAAAGAGACAGAGGCGACGAGCAACCGCGGCGACAGGTACCGGCGCCATGGCAGCAGGGATCGGGCGGGTGGCCGCGGCTCCTTCGGATCCCAATCCCCCCTCCTTCACGGTTTGGCCGCTGCCGCGCCACCTCCCCGCCCCCTCACGCGGCTCCTTAGCTCGGGAGCGGCGCGTCTGGGCAAGCGGGGCCCGGGAATCCTCGAGGCCAGCGCGGCGCAGGCCCCCAGCCCCATTCCGGGCCCCTCTGCGCCCCGCCGGGCCGCGGGGCCAGTGCTCCCTTCGGGAGGCGTGGAGCCGGGTGGCCGCGGGAGCCGCTCGCTGCCCCGCCGCGCACCCCTTCCCGGAGGCAAAGCCGGTCGCAGACGCTAGTCCTCATTCGGCTTTGTTTCCCGCCCGGGTTGACAGGTCCGGGCTCCGGCTGATAGTCTCCGACTCGCCCGAGGCCGGGCGGCACTGACCGCAGCCGCCCGGAGCAGGCAACTGAACCCGCGCGGACCTGCTCAGCGTCCGTGTGAGCAGCTGCCGCCGCGGGAGAGACAGAAACTTCGCCTTACGTGGCCTGGGCGGGTGGAGAATTCGAGCTGGTGTGAGCTGTGCGCCGGGACACCGAGGGCGCGATGGAGCCGCGCTTACCGGGAGGGGCCCGTGGGTGGTGAGGATAGCGGAGTGTCCGGCTGCTGCACTCTCGCTTTAGGTTTGCGCTACCGGGACGGTGGGTGTGGAGACGTGTTCACCGCCTTCACCTGTCGCGCTGGGACGAGTGACTGGGAACAGCATCCCAGCTCTCAGGCCCACTTGGAGGGTGCTAGTGCGGTGCCCATTCTAACAGGTGATTATTCCAATGACACCTGAAAGCCATTTTAAAGTTGTTTTAAGGCTCCTCATTCATTTTACTTCTTTCCCGGTATTGATGTCTAAAAGGTGTCCTGGCGACAGTGTAGGAGTTAAACCCAGTGTTGGTTATAAAAAAAAGAAAAAATAAGGGGTCAGCGTATAGATTGATGTCTTTCTATTAGTGAGCCAAGAGTAATATTTTAGTCTCATTTAAAAAAAACCGTTTTCAGTAGTGGTGGCGAAAGCATAGTAAGATACAAGTTGTAAATGGAGAGCTCAGAACTCTAGATATCCTTCAGTGTGGTTCAGGACAGCGTATACAGTATTTGGCCGCCATTCAGTAAATTCTACAAGAAGCAGTTCGAGCTCTTGGTTTTGGATTTACTTTTCAGGAGTATGTTTTACAGTGGCACAAAGCTTAACATTGAATGGGAGCCTTCTTTGCCTTTCTGAGGGGAGACAGGAGTGTTTATTTTTATTGTCTCATTATTTTGGTACGTTGTGGACAAGAGAAAAGTTGAGGCAATATTTTAGTTTAGTATTTTTAATAGTCTATAGAGTTCTGTCACGCTCCACCCCAAAGGTTTTTTTACTTTAGAGAATTATAGTAGCTTTTTCTTTTGCTGTTGGAATCAAAATTCAAGGGCAGACTTAAGAAGTTATTGTTCTTGTGGGAAATTTTTATTTGTCATACTTTCACTTAGCGTTTTCTGTTTGTCTCTCTCCCAACGGGCCTCCATTTAACAATCTACAGCTATGGCCCTAACCAATTTAGGGCATCTACAGAAAAATATTTAAAAATAATATATAATAGTTATTTTTAAAATATATACTTTAGATGAGAGTTAATAACATTCATTTGTGAGAAACTTTTAGTTACTCATTTTTTTCCTCATGGGTTTTGTTTTATCTCTGCATTGGATATGATTTATACTTAATGTAAGTTTAACTTCTTAAGAACAAAGTTACAATTTTTATTAATTATTCCATCTTACTGGTGTTTCAGTGAATGGTAGTTTTACTTACCTAATTAGCAACACTATTTAAAACCAAACTCTAACCAAGAGACTAGTTGTGACTGGGATTTAAAAAATAATCAAGATGGTCTTTATAAAATGTTTTATTTTTCTAAACAACAGGCTTATATGTTATGAGGTCTTTTGTTTTTCCAACATTTAACAAAACAAGTATGTTTCTGAGTAATTTTTTTTAGTTTTGGGAATTTAGGATGAATGTCCTTTTAAAACATAATTTTAACCAGTTCAACGTGAAAAACTTAAAAAATATTGAATTAGACAACTATTTAAGTCTTAAATTTTCTGTTTATTCTTGGATTGGAAAAGAATACATATCTTGGGTTATTTTTAGTTTCCTGAATGTTTCTTAGCTTAGACTGAAAGAACATCCTCTTTCTATAGCTGTAGAAGTTGCTGCTGTTAAACTGGGTTGGCTTTTTGACCCTGAGGGTATATTGATTGAACAGTGGCTCTTCTAGATGTAGAGTGGGTTTTTTTCCTGTACAATTAGTTGTAAGGAATCACATAAGATTGGGGAATATATCAGTTTAACTACTATGGATAATTAGAAGTTTTATAATCTTTATTCTGTAATGATGCTTAAGTATATCACATAAAAATTAAATTTATATTTCATAGTTTTCTTTACACAAGAGCATACTTTAGGAACTTCAGCTGTAAAAGTGCCTTTTATAATTAAAAGCCCATTTTCAAATTCTCTTTTTAGATATTTTAATTACTGATTTTTGTCCATTTTAATTTGTGGTAGACCATATCATAAAACTATCAACCACATTTCAGTTTCAAAATTAAGCGTAAGTTGAATTCTCACATCTACACAATAAACATTGGGAGTGTTTTGTAGGTCATTTGCCTTCAGGTGTGGGTCTTTTTGAGTTTGGGAGTGAGTAAATATTTTTGAATGAATAAAGCCACAAAAAATAAGGACATGTCAAAACAGCCAGATTTGAGGATAAATCAAATCACACTGTTAGATATTAATACTGCTTTATTTAATAGTAATATGCATGTTAACCTAGCATTAGGAATATCCACTGTAGGTAGGCCTTTAATACAGGGTGAGACAAAAGTAGGTTTATAGTTGTGAGTACCCAAAACTGAGTTTATTCTTCTATCATTTATTTATTTATTATTGTATTATTTTCCATACAAACAACTGTAAACCTACTTTTGCCCCACCCTGATAATATTCACAACTCCTAAAGTAGAACCTATATTATACATATTTTGACACGCTAAATTCTTTAATTACTTCTGCTAAATAGTTAAAATGTATATTTCATAATTTTGAAACTGAGCTTTCTAACCTAACTGATTAATAATTAGATTTTGTTTTTTCATTAGTTCACATTTCTGAGTTTTTCTGTAGTGCATTTTAAATGTTTGACGTTAATCCCCCAAATTGTAAAGAAAATTAAATCTACACTCATCAGACTGGGTAGACAGTGATATGTATATCCCATAACTATTGATTTAAAAACAGTAGCCCCTTCAGTGTGATTTAATTTGCAAATAAGATGTTCATTTATTGTGTAAAAGACAGTTCAGCCAAATGAAACAGGTTGGCATAATTTATAGCAGGGCCTCTTTACCCTTGTAACTGTAATCTGTATAGCTCACAGGTTACTAAGGATATTTTAGCAATATTTTAAACACTGACATTCAAGTATGTACTGAAAATAATTTGTACCTCATAGTTCGTTATGATGAGAATTGACCTACATTCTGCTGAAGCTTAAACATGTAAGACTATAGTCCTCAAAAGGGGCAAGTTCATTTTATGCTAAATTTAGTATTTAATTCTAGTCTTATGGAAAACATCTGGTTAATAAGAGAGAAGAATCACCAGAGGGTATATGGGGTCTGCGTATTTGATATACGTTTTCTACCCTTGGTCTGGAAGAAAAACACTGCAAAAATAAGAATAAATTTTTATTTAATTCTCAAACAATCAGGCAAAAGATATTGAAAGTAAGTTGGGAATTGTAGCTATTTGGAGCAGTTGTCATTTTTGAAAGAATTATTCAAGGCTGTTTTCTTTTAGAAAGAGGTACAATAATTAGAAAAAATGAAAATGATATATTTTCAGAGTGAAAGAATGGATTTTTAAGTAAATAGTTGCATACCTGTAAAAGTTAGGGAACATCCAAATACTAAGACTATTTTTTAAGATTAAAAATGTAGTACATTTAAATTGTATGCTTTTGAAATTGCTCATTTTTTGGATGAAGGAATAAAAGATGGAGAATGACCAAAGGTTCTTTTTTCCCTTTTGTAGTTGGAAACCCTTCCTAAATCAGGCAGTGGTTAATTCTAGAGCCATATGTAATATTCTGACTCCATCTTGGCCATTTATAGGTGATATTAAGAGAAGAGCCACTCCTAGTGCCCTGAAAATGACCATTTGATTATCAGAAGCAGGGATGGGAATTTCAGTTTGATTTCTTCAAAAATAAGATTTGAACACATGTTCCTTTTTTTAAAAAAATCCTCACCAGAGGATATGTTTATTGATTTGAGAGACAGAGGCAGAGACATTGATCGGCTGCTACCTCTGCCTCCACAGCCTGACGGGATCAAACCCGAAACCTAGGTATGTACCCTGGTGCCCTGACCGGGGTGGAACATGCAACCTTTTGGTCTACAGGATGACACTTCAACCAACTGACACACCTGGCCAGGGCTGCACATATATTTCTTAATGTTTCTTACCTCTGGAAATTAAAAACCTCCTCTATTGTCAGAGAAAATTACACAGTGGAATTTGAAAGTCAAAATGTTTCTATTACAGACTTAATGCTGCAGTAAATTACTTTTAGGAATGGAGAAAATGTATTCTGAATGAGGATAAAAATAAGTCTTTACCCATGTTAAATATTAACCAGTGGAATTGTTTCCATGTTTAACTTTTTAAAAAAGCAAGATAATAAAATAAAATCTTATGATCTCAACACAGTTTATTTTAGGTTTTGCCCTTAAAAATTATTATACGGTGGAGGATAACATTTAATGTTTAGAAATTTTAGTTTGGGAAGGGGATTTGTTAATGAGAAGAAGGTATTTCATCGAAGCAGAACAGGGTAATTTACATGGAGAGAAATTTGTTTCTCTTTTGAATTATTCTTAATACATAATAAGAAAAATTGAGATAGTTATCTTTTCCA